TTGGGATGATTCAAGAGCATTACCTTTATTGTGCACTTATTTCTATTATTATTACATTGTAGTATATAATGAAATATTATACAACTCACCATAATGCAGAATCAGTGGGAGCCCTGAGCTTGTTTTCCTGCAACTAGATGGTCCCATCTGGGGGTGATGGGAGACAGTGACACACGAAGTGTGTTGCTATGTCCAGGCTACTCCGTAATCTCGTTTTGGTTGCTGTCACTGCAGAAAACCCTGCTTCACAAAGACAGGATGTTAGAAATGGAAGCAGGCTTTTCAGTGCTTTTGTGGTAATCAGGCTATCCCACCTTGACTTTAATCCAGAACGTATGGAGATTTGAAGTTGTCTCACATACTTTTAAGGCCGCCATCATTTGCGATCTCAAGTAGTTGATCCTCTTCTAGCACGGACAAGGTCAGTTCACCTGGCTTATTCACAAATGGGTCAAGGATCCATTCCTGCCCAGTTCGGGGGTCTTGTGTGGTTGGGAAGTAATGCTGAAACTCTTTTGAAAGCTGAGATAGGTGATCATGCACCAGCTGGGACAAAGAAGTCCCTGGGCTCCGTCTCTTTCCAAATCTCTGCTAATGCTTGAAACATGTGAAAAATCCCAGTGTTCACTCGTTGCCCCTATAAATCCAGTTTGGCTTTGAATGCAGCCACATTATCTGCAGACTTGAATACAGTTGTCATTCTCCCCTGAAGTGACAGATTGAGTTTGTTGAGCAGGTTGAATATGCCACACAAGTAAGCAAGTTTTGCGACCCATTCTGTGTCACTAAAATGTGCTGCCAGTGGTGACTGTTTTTCTAAAAGAAATCTCTGGAGCGGCTCTCATAACTCAGAAACTCTGGCCAGTGATCTACCCTTAGAAGCCATCTCACTTCTGTGTATGAGAGAAGACGTGTGCTCTGCATCCATCTCCTCACAGAGCTGCATGAACAGACGTGGGTTAAGGGCATGTACTTTAACGTGGTTGATAATTTTAATCACATCCTGCAAAACGTTGTTAAGTTCAGGTGACGTTTTCCGGCTAGCCAGCATTTCTCTATGGATGACACAGTGCGTAGACTCACATTCAGAAGTGACCTCTTTGACCCGAGTAGTGAAACCAGAATGCCGTCCAGTCATGGCAGCTGCTCCGTCCGTGCATATACCGACACAAAATGACCAATTCAGTTTTCCTGATATGTAATCATTCAAAGACTTGAATAGTTCTGCCGCTGTGGTATTGGTTGGCAACAAAAGTGCACATCGCATATTCTCATGCACATCCTCCTGAAAAATATATTGCACAAAAACAAGCATTGTTGTCTTGTCAACATCGGTAGACTCATCAACCTGGATTGCGTACCACGGTGACTCATTACTCCTCTCTAACAATTGCGCCTTAATATGCTCTGCTATTTCATCAATTCGTCTGTTATGGTGCTAGCCAAAAGAGGAACATGTGCCACCTTTTGAACTGCAGCCTCTTAAAAGTTCACGATAGATGTCCTTAGCAGCAGGCAGGATCAACTTCTTCACCAATAGTAAAGGGCTTCTTAGCTTTAGCAATGCGGTTAGCCACTAAGAATGATGCTCTCAGTGCAGACACATTTGATGAAATGGTGGCCTTCAGTAATTGCTTCTGTTCTTCGTGTTCACGTTTTTTTCTTTTGAAAAGCTCCAAAGGCTTGTCTTTTAATTCAGGGTGCTTGGTCTCCATGTGGCGAAGCAGTTTTGAAGGTTTCATGGCTTTGTTGGATAGCCGGTTGCCACATATTATACAAAGCAGGCTTGGAGAGTGTGAATCACCTGTTGCAATGAACCCATTAATTTAAGTAGGACTCTTGGTATTTTCTTTTAAATGCAGCTTTCTTTTTGTTGGTAGTCTTAGAGTCTTCTGCTGTCTTATCATTTGGTCTTTCCTCCTTTTCAAAGAAGCTCTCCAGCGACATTTGTTTTTTTTACTCATTCTGGCTAAGGTTAGCTTGTGGGCTTACCAAAACTGTGACTGAGACAAGTGCTCAGTACGGGAAAGAGGCGCAGACAGAAGTGGTAAGTAAAATAATGGGCAGGCCATGTGCAGACTAAAATAAATGTCGGATTCTGATTTAAAGCCTGCCACCAGATGCAGCTGTACAATTGAAGTACATCAACTCACTTGCCACTATAAAGCCTGCCACCAGATGCAGCTTAATTATCACTTGCCACTCACTGATAGGGTTTTGATATGTGTCTGCAAGCAATTGATTTATTATGGTCTCTGCTAATGATAATCTGTATTTGCAGCCTTTCCCCAGCTCTAGCATCACTGCCTCATCTCCACCTCAGATCATCAGGCATTAGATTCTCATAAGGAGCGTGCTACCTAGATCCCTCACATGTGCAGTTCACAGTAGGGTTCACGCTCCTATGAGCATCCAATGCCGCCGCTGATCTGACAGGAGGCGGAGCTCAGGTGGTAATGCGAACGTTCGGGAGCTGCTGTAAATACAGGTGAAGCTGCGATCGCTCTCCTGCTGCTCACCTCCTGCTGTGTGGCCCGGATCCCTCACAGGCCTCGGACTGGTACCGGCCTGTGGCCTGGGGGTTGGGGACCCCTGAGGTAAAGGACATGAGTGAAGCTGTTGAAAGATAAGCTGAGGCATAGTAAAAGTTTTCAGAGTTTGAGTAAATCGTTTCTGGTGGGGCAGTGCCAAACTGGAAGTGGTTAGGAACATCCTACTGATATGAGGCAGGGAAAAGACTGACAGTGAAAGTGCAGAAGCAAAGAAAGGAAATTATTTGATTGGCTATAGTTTAAAGCCTAATTGGCTGTTGTAATGGTTATCCTTAGTGTTTTGATTTTGTAACTTTGAGGCATTTGCAGGTTTGGGTTTTGGTTTGCTTACAGAGGTTGCAATGGAATTCGGACCTCATCAGTTGAACAGCCTCCTTGTTTAATTTAACAAGTTACAGAGCTGGGAAAATGCAGCTTTAGTTTGACCTCAGAGTAGAGTAATGAAGGGAGACTGTCGGAGATAACACTAGAATTTGCGAGTCAGGTCTTGTCCCTCCTTATGGCTTCTCATCTTGTTTAGAGGAAAAGCCAAAGTCCCGATAATGGCCTACAAGCCACTTCACAATCTTCTCCCTCCCCCAATTCCCAGTGTTTTCTTCCTTGCTCCCTTTTATCTAGCCATGTTTGTCTCCCATTGTTCCTTCATCAGGCCAAGAGTGCTACCTTAGGATGTTTGCTTCCTCTGCCTGGAGCCTTCTTCTCCCAGGTGGCTGCATGGCTTACCCTTCACTTATTTTAGGTCAACTTTATCAGAGAGGCCTGTCCTGACTTCTATTACCTCCCCTTCCCATTCCTGTTACTTTGCTTTATTTTTCTTCATAGTACTTAGGAAGTACATATATAGGATCACTAACATCCTATGTATGTTTGTTTGTGAATTGTTACTTTGTCTTCAGCCATTAGCTTGTATGTTCTCTGAGGGTGAGGACTTACTGCTGTATCCCCAGCAGTGCCAGGACCAGTGCCTGGCACGTAGCTCATACTCAAGCATATATTAGACAAAAAAGGAAAACAAGAGCAGGAAAGTGAGTGTGAGGGAGGGAAGGGGTTGGATATGGATCCTATATTGTTTTGCATACGAGGCAGGGGAATAAAAATTTAATCTATTCGTTAGTGGTAGCTATTAAAGGGTTTGAACAGGGGAATGATAGCAAAAACATTAGTTTAGGAAGGTTAGTTTGGTAATGATGTGTAGGATGGATTTTTAAAAAGATTCACATCAACCCCTTTTCCCTCCCCAAGTCAGTACCATGTAACATAGCTGTATGTGCTTTAAAAAAAGAAAAATTTTTTTTTGAAATAGTTTGACTCTCAAGAAACTGCTAATATAATTGCCAAAATAGGCTAAAAGCAAATTCCCTTCCTGTACCTCTTCCCCTTGTTTGCCCCAATGATAGTATCTTACATTACTGCAGTACATTGTCAAATCCTGGAACAAGACCTTGGTATAATACTATTAACTCAGGTACTGGCCTTAGTTGGATTTCATCGGATTTTACATGCACTTGTGTATGTGTGTGTGTGTGTGCGTGCGCACATGCATAGTTCTGTGAAATTTTATCTCGTGTAGAAATGTACTTTTTAATGTTTCTAAATCTAATTTTGAAGTTTTCGACAAAGTGTTAGAAACTATCTTTGATACCACTCTCCAGGTTCTTGGCCTCCCACATTTACATATGAATAAAGTGAATGGCCTGTTGTTTTATTTCTTTGTTCTTCCGCTGTGGCGTTTCTTTGTAGCCTTTCCTTTCTGCACCAGAAATGCTTTTTAAATTTTGCCTCTCCAGTATTGCAAATCGTATTACCTACCAGGTCTTTTTTTTTTTAATTTTAAAACTAGTGCATTACCTTCTTATTTCTTTCTATTGGTCATTTATCTACTTAACAACCCTTCATATCTTTTCTGACAGTAAAATATTTCTACAGGACTGTTGACAGGGTTCTAAAATGTTTTCCTTTGCCTACCCTGCCCAACTAATTAGAAATATATATTTCTGGTAAGTAATTTACCAATAATTTCAGAATTGGGAGGGGTAGTGGGTTGGAAGGAGATTGACTAAATTGTTTAAGTTCTTTATTCATCCTTTTAAAAATCAAACTTTTAATGTCTTTAGATATTCTGCTAGCCATATTATTTTACTAAAAGCCCACTTCATTAATTTTTATATATCATGGGAAATATTTGTCTTTATGTTATTTACAGACTTCCTAAAACGAAGTGTTTAAGTTAAAATTTTATAGTTTAATTTCTGCAGCTGTCCTAAATATGTGCTATATATATTTATATGTGTTCTATATGAGATATACACATACCTGCTTATATGCTGCTGATATTTAAGGTGATAGTTGATGGTATTCAATAGGATTCTAGATTAATATGCAGGGCTATGCGTGACAGCTGAAGAAAAACCAAGGTCTATATGAACGTACTTGATACATTTCTTACAGGTTCTGAGTTCTGTACGCACAGAATGGGATCCACTGGATGTTCGCTTTGGCACCAAACAGCCTTATCAGGTGTTGACAGTGGAGTGCTCCATCAGTGTAGACAAAGAGCCCATGGCTGACAGTTGCATCTATGAATGTGTTCGGCACAAAATCCAGTGTGTATCAGTCACCAGAATACCACTAAGATCGAAGGCCATTAGCTGTTGCAGGAATGTTACTGAAGACAAACTGATTCTGGGCTGTGAAGATTCTTCAGTAATCCTTTATGAAACTCACCGTAGAGTGACTGTCTTAGCTCAGGCTGAAGTTCTGCCTTCATTAATAAGCTGCCACCCAAGTGGTGCCATTCTGCTAGTTGGCAGTAACCAAGGGGAGCTGCAAATTTTTGATATGGCTCTTTCTCCTATTAACATCCAGCTTTTGGCTGAAGACCGCTCACCTAGGGAGACTCTACAATTCAAAAAATTCTTTGATGTTTCTAGCAGTCTTGTTCAAATGCAGTGGATAGCTCCGCAGGTTGTTTCTAAGAAGCCTGAAAGTGGGGACATCTATGATCTCCTCTTCCTCAAGTTTGACAGAGGACCTTTGGGTGTACTTCTTTTTAAACTTGGTAAGTCAAGGAAGTTGGTGAGTAAATAAATTTTTTATGATGGTGACAATATAACTAAGACAATAAAACTATTCTTGGAATGTAGATTTTCTGTTTGTCATTCCATCAATGTGCTTGCCTTTCAAACATTTCATATAGTTTCCTTAAGAAAGCTTTGTGGATGATTTTCTAAATGTCAAGGTACATTATATATTGAAGAATTTTGAAATTGCATTAATTTTCCATTGTGATGAATAAAAAGACTGAATTAGCCACATTTGATGCTTTCCAAAATAAACTATTAAAAAATTCCTTAAGAAATAGTACACATGAGAATATATTAAAAGTATGTCCATTACAAAATTCTGTAATACTTTTCTATTAAAATTATTTTAGATTATACGTGTCCATTTCTTCCCAGATTGGAAATGTGTAAAGCAAGTGTTTTAAAAAAGAGAAAGGAAATATTTAGTTAGCATTTGCTAAAGATTTTAGATTAAAATATTCAAAAGTATTAATCAATATTTGGAAAAATGTGTATTAATGTATCCCATTTCAACCAGGAAGCTTTAAAGCGGAATTTCATTATTGTGATTTTTTTGCCTTTTGTAGTTTTGCATTACTGGCTATGTCCTGAAATAATATCCTTTAGGCAGTTTGTTGGGGTTTTTTTTTAGAGTTGGGTATTTATTTTTAATTTTTTGGCTGTACGTGGGCTTTCTCTAGTTGTGGAGAGCGGGGGGCTGCTCTTCGTTGCAGTGTGCAGGCTTCTCACTGCAGTGGCTTCTCTTATTGTGGAGCACGGGCTCGGTAGTTGTGGTTCTCAGGCTCTAGAGCGCAGACTCAGTAGTTGTGGCGCACAAGCTTAGTTGCTCCACGGCATGTGGATCTTCCTGGACCAGGGGTCGAACCTGTGTCCCCTGCATTGGCAGGTGGATTCTTACCACTGCACCACCAGGGAAGTCCCTTTAGGCAGTTTTGTATAATTTAACATTCTTGAAAGAACCTCACTTAGGTTTTAAAAAACCGATTTTAATTAATGCACATCACCGCAACTTGAAAACATAGAAAAGTAAATACACTTAAAAACCCCTTATAAGATTTGGCTCTGTGCTAAAAGTTAAGTTTTTAAGACATTGTAGTGTTTGTTAAATAGCTGTCAGTTTACTTTGTTTTTTTATGGATCTACTTCCCTCTGAAATTGAACACATGAAATAAATCTAATGAAAATGACTTGACTAACTTGAAAGATATCAGGGATATAATGTGAGGGCTATGTTCTTTCCACATATTAAAAATGCAACTAAATCCATTCATAATGTCAGTATTGTCCAAGAAAAAATATGTTTGGAATCTCATTTATTATGAGATAATCCAGTTCTACTTTGCCCAACTACACATTTAACAGTGATATGTCTCTATACTCAACACTTATTAAAGTGGATGTTAGATGTTTTGCATATCTGTTAAAACTCCCTCCTCCCTCCTCTTTCTCTCTCTCTCAATAACCCAAGTTACCTGTCAAACAGAAGGCTGTCTTCTGACATATACCTAGCCTTTCTTCAGCCCTGCCTTGTGGGCCTACTCACAACAGCTTTGCAAAAAGCACAGCTTTCTCTTCCTATCTCTAGCACATTTGCCTTCTTACTAAAGTAAACAGGCTCTCAGTGTAGGGATTTAGAGGGCTTCCTGCTAATTGCCAGCTTGTAAACTTAATTGGACTATCTCCCTGGGCACTGTTCCTAAATCAATTAGGCAATGAGTTGGCTGTCACCTCTTTTTCCCAAGTAGGTCTCTTGGAAGAGAATTATCCAATAGAAGTCAAGCATTCAAATGAAAAGGTGATAACTTCTGCAACTGACATTTATCATTTAAATTTTATTTTCAATATGACTGAAGTTTTATAGAATAGGGAAATTTTACAGGCTCTTTAAAGGATCTAAAGATGGAGTTTCCCAGGGTTTTTGAAAATGTATTATAAGATTAATGTTTATTACAGATTATTTTTCCTAGGAAGAGTAGATTCCTTGAAACAGTAGATTCCAGCTAACAGATCTTTTTTTTTTTTTTTTAAAGAAAACCCTGTTTAAAGAACAGATTTTTCTTAGGATCTGCTACTAAATACATCCAGAAATTTTAATATACTTCTTGAATTAACACAGTGCTGATTCTGGGCATCCATGTGGAATTTTCATGTATAATTCAAGTTACTGCATATATAAACAGGTAGTTGCCTGTGCAGTTTCCCCACTAGGGAGCATTTATGAGATATTTTTCATATGCTTGTTATGCAAGCCTTTGGAAATTTTGACATGAAAGGTGTAGCTTACAATGTAAGAAGCTCAGATAGATCATGGTTTAAAATAGAATGCTGTCATATGTAAACGTGTCAGTGGCTACTGCCAAGATGCTAAGATTTTTGGAATTCGACTCTTAGAATAGGTCAGTTAGTGTCATGTTGAAAGAAAACTCTGTTGCAAGGCTAGGGCTTCCATTCTAAATCCTTATAATTATTGCACAAATGCACTGTGGATAAAAGGCCATCATCACTGTTGTAAGAATGAGAAAAACATGTCTTCCTCAGGAGTGAGCTAGAAGTGTCATCCTCCTATGTGGAAGCAATGTGTAAAAAGCATTTCTTTACCTGACAATCATCATTCATACTTCCATATACATATACTGGGATTAAGAGGAGTCCCTAATTACTGAGATATTAAAGCTCTTCCATTCTCATCAGTACCTTTTCCAGCCTTCACTGCTGTCTTTAAACTCACATGATCAGCTAGCTCCTTGCCCTCTCAACAGAGAATCTCACCTTTTACTTGGCACTTCATTCATTTTATCTGCTCCTCACCACCCACCCAATGACTTACCTACATGTACATAAATCTTTTCAGTTTCAATTCAGTGGAAAAGGAGCCTTCCTCTTGTCTAAGACTAGTTCCAGCACTGGTTCCACTCTGGATCCCATAACATTCCCTTTGATACCTTTACTCTGTCACCTTCCCCACTCTCCCCATGAATTTTGCTACATCATCAGGTACCGGCCCAAGCCACACCATGAAACAAAGAAACATACATACATCTCTTCTTTAAAATTATTTCCCCTGTTATTAATCAAATGTTCACCTTCCTTTCATAGTCAAACGCATTGAAATAGTAGTGAACACTGAATTTCTCTGCTTCTTCACCTCCCATTCACCCCTCACAGCACCGCCTTCTGGCTCTTTTCTTCAGTGTTCTCCTGGAACTGCTCTTGGAAAGGTCACTAGTGACGTCCTACTTGATACACATATTTCTCTTATGTTACTTGATGACTTTTCAGCATTTGATGGTTGCTGACCACTTTCACCATCATAGAACTCTCATCATACTTGCTTCTATGACTTCAGATGCAACTTTTCATCACTTTTTAATGCTCTTCTTCTGCCTCCTCATGAAACTATTGAGGTTCTCTAAGGTTCCATTTTTAGCTCTCCTCCCATTTTATACAGATTGAGAGTTTATTTTTGATTTTGGTATCCTACCTCTGACTTCAGCCCAGACCACTCCTCACTCCACATCCACATATTAACGTGGCTTGCTGGATACCTCCCCCTGAATGTTCACAGGTATACAGATTTATTATGTGCAGATATGAATTCATAATCTTTTCCCCTGCTTCTCCTCCTATATTCTCCAATTTGAGGGATGGTACAGTTATTTAGACAGACAGAATCCCAAGTCAGAAGTTATCCTAGAATCCTCCCTCACCCCTGATGCCATATCCAATCCAATCAGCTACCAAATCCCATCAGTTCTGCCTTTCTAAATACGTACTGTCAAAAACAATTTAGTCTATTCATCCTTGCTGTCATTACCTTAATCTAGATCTTTGCTGTTTTACCATGATCAAGCAGTGGCCCTCTATCTGTAATCCTCTGTCTTCCAGTCTTCCCAACCCACCGCTCAATTAATCCCCTGAACTGCCACCAGAGTGCCTATTTGATCATGGATTCTACAGCCTGAAATCCTTCAGTGGTTAATAAGCCTGTCTGCGTCTCTGGCTTCATCTCCCCAACTGTGCTTCCCTAGTAGCTCCCCAGTCACAGCATGTGCTCTCACACTCCTTCTTTCCATAGTGGTGGTGAGTATTCCATCTACCTAGAGTGCTCCCACAGTGCTTCACAGCACCTACAAAGTTAGGAAAAGGTTAAAAGTTCAAATGATGATATTAAACAAATAATTAAAGCTAATTTCTTCCCTCTCATAGGATTTTGAAAATCACAGGCAATGTGTGTGCATGTGTGTGTTTGTCACTCTATCTAAAAAACAAGTAGTCTGATTTTTCTCATAGAACTTTTGTAAGAAGTATGTGTTCTTTAAAAGAGTTATTTTTAATGAGTTATTTAAATTTTACTTTACCCAAGTGGTAATTGGTGGTAATTTATTGCTGGAAGGATATGTCAAATACTTTATTAGATGCCTAGTCATCTTAAAACTAGATCTTATATCATTTTAGATGGATTGCTGTTCCAGACAGCATTCTGCTTTCTAGAGTGATGATGGATTTTTAAATCAAGTTTATTGAGGTATAATTTACATAAAATTAATTGTACCTATTTTAAAAATGCATAGGTCAATGAGTTTTGGCAAATATGTATATCCCCATGATTACCACCACAATCAAGATGTAAAACATTTCCCTCACCCTCAAAATTCTCTCAGCCCCTTTGCAGTCAATCCCTGCCTCCCTCGAAGCTAAAGTGCATTGATCTGCTCTCTGTTATTACAGATTAGATCTGCTTTTTCTAGAATTTTATAGAAATATACTCAAGAAATAGGTCCTCTTTTGTGTCTTGCTACTTTCACTCAGTAAGTATGGAAGAGTCTGTGAGACTCTTCCATGTATATCTGTAAATTTTCACTTATATTACTGAGTAGTATTCTATTATATAGCTAAATCACAATTTGTGTATCTTTTCACATGTGGATGGACATTTGGGTTGTTTCCAAATTTAAGCCAATATCATTGAAAATGC